CCAATGGTAGTGATGCCACTGTTGGTTACAGTGCTGCTGGCGGTAGTAATCCTGTATTGAGTTCATTTAAATGTTTGCCAGTCGTGTGTAATCACGCCCCGGCCACACTCGCACAAAATGCTGCCCCGAAATCGGTTTCTGTGGGACAGTCACGCAAAACACTGCAACTCTCCACAAGCTCCCGCATCCCCCCGGTCTCTATAGGATCAGTTAGTTTGTCCCGATCGGGCCTGACAATCGCGGAACCCGAAATCAGACAATCTGTCAGCGCAACTTCCAGTAAGTTCGCACTTTCTTTCCTATTCTGTCCCGAAAGCTTAAGATGTCTCGTTATCCTTAGTGTGAGGCCTCATCAGGGACCTTTTTTTAGTCTTTTATGGGGACCTTGTTGAACTTTACCTGTACTACACGTAAGCTACCTATCTCTAATTGCTCGATCGCCAGAGTGTTTGACTCTTCACCGTCGCCAATGTACTAATTTCATTGATCATGTTGAAAGAAACCACCACGCTTACCTCATACCGGGCTGCAGTGGTATTTCGGCGAGCTAGACCGATCTGTCTCTGCATCACATACATCAAACAAAAACCTGATTTTCTATTGGTTTCCACCTTGGTTTAGTATTTCTTGAATTTGGCATAATCAACCCATGTATGATGGTTTTGTAAAGTGATGAAAACACGTCCTATAGACACAAATACGCCAAACATGTTCTTCCGGTTTGTAGTTCTTCCGATTATTCAAAGCCTGGTTCGGTGGTGGTTTCTTGATTTCATCACTGTTACCGGATCCTATAGTACGAGGTTTTAGCCCCGCCACTACCACCCAACCTTGGTGGTAAGCGGCGTTGCTGTCGTCCGGTTCAATACTACGCCTAACCTGGTGGGGCCTCATGTGGTTCGCCACTCCAAGTTCCGGGGCTTAGGTTGCCGGCTTCCATCACCGAACAGCAGGTCTTCGTGACTATGAGGTCCGCCCCGTCTACTATTCATCACACACCGGTGTGTAATAAAAAAATAAAAAAGGAATCTGACAAAACAGCTCCTTTATGGCTTGGAAGCGCAGAGCTGTATGTTGCCGAGCGCTCAAGAATGTGGTGAGTCTACCATTTGGCAACGGTTCTTCGCACAAAACGGCGCATTTATCTCTAAAAGGAGCTGTGACATAGCGAACGTGGATCGCCATTGATCATGGTTATTGGTCATTGACGAGTTTCATGTACTGGGAAAGGTTCTCCAGAAGAAGCGAGGAAACCAAATAACCGACCACTTGCTCATATGGAACAACGCTACTGCCTTGTAGTTCGCGCTTGGCTACGCAAAGGCACCCTTGAACTATGCCTAAACTGGATTGAACGTCTGATTAGTACAACAACAGCATATACAAACATGGTTAATGCTTGTTAAAACTAAACTGGCTTAAAGTGATATACCACCATAACCGTTGCTTCTTCAGTGAATTCATATTCATAACATTCTCATTTTTGTTGCGTTCGCACCACGCTTTTCCTCAGCCCGACCTGAAATACATGTATCGTTTCCAGTCACTTAGATTCCAGGATCGAGGTTCGAACTGTTCTACGTATGCGCGACGGTAGACAGTGTTACTGTCACCGTTTAGGGTTGAACAGAGGTGTACGCTATCGGGTGCAT